CAGAGAGGCTTCCCAGCTTCTTTCTTACACTGGAATGTTCCCAAAGAGTTTTCTGCCACAAGTATCTTTTCCTCTGAGTCTTCTCAGAGCGTGGGTGTCTCCACCTATAAGTATTTCATCCACTGAGTATTCTGATGTTAGATGTGCTTCCACAGAGAGCAAGGCTGTAGTAACTGGAATGTTCCCCGAAAGACTGTCTCCTGCCACAAGTAATCTTTTCCTCTGAGTCTTCTCAGAGCGTGGGTGTCTCCACCTATAAGTATTTCATCCACTGAGTATTCTGAGACTAGATGTGCTTCCACAGAGAGCAAGGCTGCAGTAACTGGAATGTTCCCCGAAAGACTATCTCCTGCCACAAGTATCTTTTCCTCTGAGTCTTCTCAGAGCGTGGGTGTCTCCACCTATAAGTATTTCATCCACTGAGTATTCTGAGACTAGATGCGCTTCCACAGAGAGCAAGGCTGCAGTAATTGGAATGTTCTCAGAGAGACTGTCTCCTGCCACAAATATCTTTTCCTCTGTATAGTATTTTAGTTGTGTTGATTGCTTTTGCTCCCTAAAACAAAAAATACCATTTGTCACAAGGATATGGCTCTCAGGGAGGAGGAGAGGCAGAGGGAGGGATACATGGGATACCATCACATAAGATACAGAAAACATCAATAAAATTGTTTTTAAATGAGGTCAAGTATCTAAAGGGTATTGATGGAGAAGTGGCCAGGGGAAAGAATGGGGTTTTGGACGTGCAGAGTGATTCCTTCCACCTCTGCAGCCTCCGGATCAGGCCTTGGCTTGAGAACTCCAGCACTGAGAGAGGAGAAATTTGGCTGCTCCATTAATCCGCAGCTCTGGCATCCACGGGTCAGTATTCTGTCCACCCCTGCTCGGGTACTGTGTATCTTTCTTCAGTCCATGTGTCACCTCTCTTTTTCTGTGTGTGGTCATGTCCAGCCTCCACATGTCTGTCCTCCACTTGTTCTTCCTCTCAGTTCTGGCCAGGCCACCATATGGCTGGCCCCAACATGCACCTGATCCTCTTCCTACTCTTGCTTCTCTGTCCCTGGCCCCCATGTGTCCTTGAACTGTTTCCTGGCCCACTCCCTTCACAGGCATGTGACCCCCTTCCTGCCCCCCTCCCTTGTAATCACATCTGTGGCCAAATTCAAATTACTTCAAAATCCTTCTACTTACAGGCTTGTCCAATGGTCCACTTACACAAAACAAGAATTGCCTGTAGTTCATAAAAAAAACAACAAACTGATGGCACGTGTGGAAAGCAGTTTGGAAGAAATTTGATAAGAGATCAACACCTCACACCAAGTATCAAATTAAATTATAAAGGAATACATGCATTAGACACGAGAGTTAAAATAATATAGTAATAATTGATGAAAATTACAGATAGGAGATATAAATATAATCATTAATAATTACTCTTGCTTAGACCTACTTCTTAAAGGAAAAGTAAAATAACATACAGAAGGAAAGAGATGGCAAAACTATACTAAGTGCTCAACTTTCCCCTCTCAGAATCAAGCAAATATAAGCATAAAATAATAAAAAGAGAAGTTAAAGAGAGGAAAGGAATATTAGAAAAGTTAGACATGAGAGAACTCTGGAGAAAACTGAATGGAAATAGAAAGGAATGTAGCTTTTTCTTAGCTGTAAATGGTACCTTCTCAAAAAATGAACATGTATTAGGGCACAAAAACCTCATAACCAAACGGAGAAAAAAGAGAAATACTAAATGCACTTTTTACAGACCACGATGCAATATAAATTACAGAGACATGGAAGCATAGATTAAAATTAATTGAAAAGTAAAATATACAGTCTCAAAGAATGAATGGGTGAAAGAACAAAACATTATTCAGCAATCAATAATTTCATTAAAAAGAATTACAACAACGAGGCAAGAGATCCAAATTTGTGGGATGCACCCAAAGCAGTACTTAAGAGGAAATTTCTGTCTCTAAATGCTCAGATCCATAAAACAGACAAAGGATAGGTCAAAGAATTGGGCACGAATAATATAAAAGTAGAAAAGAACAAATGAAAAATCTCCTATTATACATCAACATGGAAATCTGTAAGTCAAAGGTGAGATTAAGAAGTTTTTCTTTCAAAAATCAAATTAAAAAAATAAAAGCAGGTACTGCTTTTATCAAAATACTAACAAATCATATAAATCAGGGGCAGCTAGGTGGTGCAGTAGATAGAGCTCTGGCTTTGGAGTCAGGAGGACCTCAGTTCAAATCCAGCATCAGACACCTGACACTTACTAGCTGTGTGACCCTGGGCAAGTCACTTAACCCCAGCTGCCTCACCAAAAAGCAAAAACAAAAACAAAGGAAAACAAAAACAAAGACAAAAAAAAACGTGATAAACTATTGGGTAACTTGATTAACAAAAGAGAGAACAAAACCAAATTACCAGTTTCAAAAACAAAAGAGTAAATGCATCACCAATGAAGATGAAATTACAGCAGTGCTAAGGAGCTATTTTGCTCAAACATATGCCAGCAAAACTGACAATCTATTTGAAACGGATGAATAATTACAAAAAACATGACCTGCCCATGTTAACAGAAGAGGAAATAGAATACATAAATAACTGTCTTAAAGGAAAAAATTGAACACGGCACACATCAGTTTCCTAGGAAAAAATTCTCAGGACCAGATCAAGTGTGAAAGTGAATTCTAGTAAACATTTAAAAAAAATTCATCCCAATACTATATAAACTACTTGAAACAACAGGTAAAGAAGGAATCCTATCAAATTCCTTTTATGGCACAAACATGTTTGTGATACCTAAACAGGGGGTAGGGATATACACAAACTAATATTAGAGGAGCTGTGAAATGACACATCCATTTTCCAAAGTAATTTGGAATTCTGCAAAGAACAATGTCCAAAGCCTCTAAAACAAAGACTCCATTATACCCCAATGGAGCCATTAATGAGAAAAATGTCCCCATATATTCCAAAATATTTATAATAACACTCTTTGTGACAGGTATGATTTGTAAAGAAAGCAGATGCTCATCAAGGGGGGAATGGCTAAATAAGACATGGAACAAGACAAGAACATGAAAGGCATGGAATGCTGTTCCCATGCAAGAAGAAATGATGTGTGGGAAGAGTACAGAGAAGTATGGAAAAACCTTTGTGAACTGATGCAAAGTGAATTGAGTAAAAACAAAAAACCCAACCCAACAGTATATATACTCAGTAACTACAATTGAAGTAGAAAGAACGACACAGCAAAATTTTTAAAGTACCTCTAACAAAACATTAAAGATGAAGTGGGCCTGAAAAGGAAATGTAAGAAGACATCATCACCCTACCCCATCCAGGTGAGAGGTCCACAGGTGTTACACATTGCACATCTTTTCCCAAATGCATCCATCAGTTGTGCTCACTTTTCTTTTCCTTCCTAATCAAGAAATACCATTCCTCACATGGCATGGCTCTCGAGGATAGGGAGAGGGAGGAATACATGGGACACCCTGATGACATCAGAAACAAAAAACATAAAAAAAATTCAGAAAGAGGTCAAACATCTTAAGGGAAATAATGAGGGAGTGGAAGGAGGAAAGAAAGGGGTCTGGCTTAGTGATTATCGGCAGCAGATCCAAACGATATTACAAATCTGTGATTATGAAAATAACTATTGCTGTTGTTTAGTCGTGACTTTTCCTCATCTCATTTGAGGTTTTCTTGGCAAAGCTATTGGAGTGGTTTCCCATTTTCTTTTGTGGCTCATTGGACAGATGAGACACTGAGGGAAACAGGGTGAAGTGACTTGCCCAGGGTCACACAGATAGTAAGTGTCTGAGACCATATTTCAACACTAGGAGATCATTCCTCTTGACTCTGGGCTCAGCAGAATACCTAGCTGCCGAGAAAACAATTTCAACTTTTTAAAAATTGAAAAGCTGATCAGTTGAAAAGATCAGGTATGCAATATACAGAAGCCAACAAATAAAACGAAATAGTGTTTAAGAAATCCATAGATAGTAGTTGGGGCGGGGGGGGGGGGGGAGAAGACACACTATATAGTTAAAAAAAAAAAAGACAGCAGAAGGAAAAAACAGTTTGTCAGAAATTTGATAGGTCATCAACACCTCTCGCCACCAATCAAATTAAACCACAGATGAATACAGGAATCAGGTATAAAAAGGGAATCGATAACAAATTAGAGGAGTGAGGAGGAAATTACTTTTCACATTGATGGATAGGGCAAGAGGTTATGAAAGAACAAAGAATAGAGAGAATCACCGAAAATAAAATGGATGATTCTGCTTCTATAAAGTTGAAATGCTTTTGCACAAACAGATTAAATGCGGTTAAAATGAGAAAGGTAACAACTAAGTGAGGAAAATCTTCCTTACAGTAAAGATCTCTAAGGCCTGTTGCACATGCAAGACAAAGAAGGAACTGATTGCAATTTCTAAGAATAAGAGCCATTCTCTACTAGGTCAAAGGACAGGCACGTTTTCAAAGGAAGAAGTCCAAACTATCAAAGGCCCTAGGACAAAATGCTCCAGATCCTTTATAATGAGAGAAGGGCACATTAAAACAACTCTTTTCTTTCAGGCTGTAAATCACAGAGATCCCAGGTTCAGGAACAGTCCCCTCTTTCTGTTCCACAGCAAGGTACGTGGAAACGCCCCATTCACCAGGCCCTGGTGGAACCAGAACAAAAAATCATATACCTTAAAGTAAAGGACACCAAACAAAAGAGGTGACAAGGAGAAGGGGAGGGGAAGAGTTCCTACACTCTGTCCTCTCTCCCCAGCCGCAAGGCCAAGCCAAGGATGGGAGGAAGGGAAGAAGAAAGGATGGAAACATCCACGTGAGAAGGGGAGGGAGGGAGTGTCTCCAAAGGCTTCTCCCAGCTGGCCTCCACCCCACTGCATCTCCCCACCCCCCAAGCTCCATACCTGCAGTCAAATGCATGGGCAGGCAGGAAGCCCCAGGCAGAAGCAGCCATGGGGAAGCAGGCACAGGAGCACACACCCACAAAAGACACACGCTCCCCCCACCAGCCTCTGTCTTACACACACACACACACAGATTATACAACCTACATATACAACAGAGGCATAAACAAAAGCATTGATACTCCAGGATCTTCCACCCACCATTACACCCAACCTCCTGAGCACTAATTGGGGAGGGTCGAGGGTCTGATTCATGAAAAGGTTGGGGGGGGAGAAAGGAAGAAAAGGAGAAAAAAGGGGGAGGCTGAGGCAGGACCAGGGGAGGGGGCACTTACCTCCCTCAGAAACACTTAGGCATTAGTAGGACCCTCAGGATACGTCAGTCTGCAAGATGGGGGTAACGAAGGGGAGGGGTGTGGAGGGGCAAGGAGACCTCTAGCTTTCCATGCTACTCACATTCTCCTCCAGAGACAAAGAAACTCACACTTAATAGAAGGTAGGAGAGCCCCACCCCCTCCTTCAGGCCCGGACTCTGTGACGTCACTGCAGAGCGGGGTAGTCTCCTCCAGAGCAAAGAAGGAGAGGAGGGGGTTTCTGATATCACGCCCAAAGCAGTGGGGAGCCCTCCCAGTCATTTCTCTCTACCTCCATGACCCAAACACAATAGGGAAGCGGACCGCAGGTGCATCTTCCACGTGGAAGTGGCCCTAGCGCTGACCAGGGTCCCAGGTTCACGAGGACAGGCTGCTGAGGCTGGGGTGGGAAGCAGCAGCAGAGCTCAGCTTGGAGTTCTTGAGGATCGGCCCCTTTATGCAAACTGGGAGGGGGAGGACAAAGAGGGCATGGGGAGGTGGAGGGAGGGGTGCCCTGGGCTCCACAAAAGGGAAGAGAACAGTAGCTGCAGCAGCATCTGCAAAGCAGTAGTGAATGGAACTTGGATTCCTCACAATCCCCAGAGCAGAGAAAGTGTTGGGGGAGGTCTAAGGAAGGGGCGGGACTCAGCCTCTTTTCTCCCGCCAAAAGGAGACAAAGATCTGGGCGGGGAAGGGGGTGAGGGAGATTGGGGCACCAAGGGAGGCAGCTTGTCTGCCCTGGCTGTTCATGTGAGGGTACTCTGGCATAAATCCTATATAATATAAACCTTGCAGACCCTGGACAAGAGGGAGGCACATCCTCTTTTCTGGCTCAGTGTCCTCTACAAACGGGAGACAAAATGCTCCAAATTCCTTGTAATTAGAGAAGTGCACATTAAAACAACTCTTTTCTTTCAGGCTGTAAATCACAGAGATCCGCAGGTTCAGGAACAGTCCCCTCTTTCTGTTCCACAGCAAGGTACGTGGAAACTCCCCATTCACCAGGCCCTGGTGGAAACCAGAACAAAAAATCAATATACCATTAAAGTAAAGGACACCAAACAAAAGAGGTGACAAGGAGAAGGGGAGGGGAAGAGTTCCTAGACTGTGTCCTCTCCCCAGCCTCAAGGCCAAGCCAAGGATGGGAGGAAGGGAGGAAGAAACGATGGAAACATCCACCTGAGGGGGGGAGGCAGGGAGTGTCTCCAAAGGCTTCTCCCTGCTGGCCTCCACTCCACTTCACGTCACCACCCCCCAAGCCCCAGACCTCCACACAAAGGCCTGGGAAGGCAGGAAGCTCCAGGGAGAAGCAGCCCTGGGGGAGTAGGCACACGGAGCACCCCCCCATACATACACACGTACACACACTGAAACATTCATACCCCCCCCCACAGACGATCCTACCTACGGACACAACACAGGCATAAACAAAGGTATCCATACTCCCAGGACCTTCCACTCACCCTTAGAAACCACATCCTGATCATTAAGAGAAGCAAATTGCGGAGGGGGCGTCCTCGGCTTCATGAAAATTTTGTGGTGGAGAGAAGAGAAGGAGAAGAAAGGGAGGGGCTGAGGCAGGAGCAGGGAGGGGGCACTCACCTCGCTCACAGACACTTCGACACTTGCAGGACCCTCCGGATCTGTCAGTCTGGAAGATGGGGGTAACGGAGGGGAGGGGTGTGGAGAAGGAAAGTGGGGGGGCACTCGGACCTCCAGCTGCTCACCCCACTCATAGCCTCCACCAGAGACAAAGACTTCCAAGATGGTGAGAGAGGGTGGGTACAGTGACGTCACTGTAGGGCGGGGCTAGTCTCTCAGAGCAGAGGGGGAAGGGCGGAGGGAGAGGAGAAGGCTCTGTGACATCAGGCTCAGAGCAGTGGGGAGCCCCCCCGCCAGTCATTTCTTTCTGCCCCCATCAGCCAAACAGACCAGGGAAGTGGGCCGCAGGTGCGTCTTCCATCTGGAAGTGGCCCTGGGGCTGATCCGGTTCCCAGGCTCCTGAGAGCAAGCTGCTGGGACTGGGGGTGGGGGCAGCAGCTCAGCTCAGCTAGGAGCTCTTGAAGGTGGGCCCCTTTAGGGACACTGGGAGGGGGAAGAAGGAAGGGAAGGGGGAGGTCGAGGGAGGGCTGTCCTGGGCTCCAAGAAAGGGGAGAGCACAGAAGCTGCAGCAAGATCTGCAAACCAGCACCCTTCAATGGCCCTTGGATTCCTCTCAACTTCCAGAGCAGAGAAAGAAAGGGCTGGTCCGGGGAAAGGGTGCGGCTCAGCCTCCTTTGTCCAGGCAAGAGGAGACAAAGATCAGGCTGGGCTAGGAGGGATAGGGGGGCACTCAGGAAAGCAGCACATTTGCCCCGATATTCATGTGCGGGTTCTCTGGTCTAAATGCTACATAATATAAACCTTCCAGAGCCTGGACAAGAGGGAGCCACACCCTCGTTTCTGGCTCAGCCTCCTCCACCAAGGGACTTCATACTTTTCTTTCTAAAACTCTCTCAGATTTGGGGTTTCATTCTCTCCAAAACCAGATACCCTCCCATTAGTGAATTGGCACAGTGGAGAGACGCCTGGAATTGGAGACACAAGACCTAGACCCATAGTGTGCCAAAGGCAAGCCACTTAAACTCTCTAAACTTCAATGTTCACATCTGTAAAATGGAGGTGATAATAATACCTAGGCTGAGTAAGTTACAGGGTGGTTGTAAGGTTTAAAGGAGATGTTTTGCAAATGTCTTTTCAAACCATGAAGCACTATAGAAGTCTTTCTTCTTCTTATCATTATTATTCACCTCTGTTAGTTTTTGGATGCAGTTTGCATATCATGCCATTGATTCTTTTCTGCTTAACATTCTTCAGATCACTGCACAGAATTACTGTCTTTTGTAACTCAATAAAAGTATTGGGATATTAACTTCTCTGCTGCAGGCTCCAGGAATACATCTTTAGGACAATTCTAGGAGGAGACAGGACTGTGGGGATCACATGTTCCTCAGGCTGTTCCCCTGTGATCTTCATTTCTTCCCCTAGGTCTGTATATGTTGCAAGCTTTTCATCCATGCAACTTAGAGACTAGGAACACTTGCTATGCTATTAAAAACATTGTTCTTGGGGCAGCTAGGTGGCCCAGTGGATAGAGCACCGGCCCTGAAGTCAAGAGGACCTGAGTTCAAATCTAGCCTCAGACCTACCACTTGACACTTAGTAGCTGTGTGACCTTGGGCAAGTCACTTAACCCCAATTGCCTTAAAAAAAAAAAAGCCAAAAAAACCCCCACATTGTTCTTGGTTGTTTTATGGATCAATGGCATGACTAGGAGATGGGGCCAATAGTTTTGTTTCGTGACAAAGTTCCAGTTCCAGTACAATTTGTTTCTGAATTCCCAAGGATATGCTGAGATCTGCATTTGTAACATCAACATTTCACCTGTTCTCCTTGGAAAGATATTGAGCTTCTGAGGGATAATTCCACTTTGCTAAGTTCATGTCTTGCTAAGTATTGATTAGGTACTATTGTTTTACAACCTGCAGTGAAGTGGTGCTCAGTTTCTACCACTTCCTTCCGTGGTCTGTGCTGATTGCTACATATGGCCTCTTTAAGCACAATCTATACTTTCTCCTCAGAATGACCTTATATGGGATTGTCATCAGAAATCCCCTCCATTTCTACAAACGAACCCACGTGACCAGCACGTTTTTCGGGGTTCTCTGTATACACACCTTGTTGGTTGAAATCCTGTGGAATGTCACCTACTGAGTGCATCTGGACTTCACTCTTGGATCTTTGCTACTTTATAGTCTTCCCCCAGAGACTGACCACTTTCACATACACTGGACACATCCAGGGATGAATATCTATTGATTTCTTTTAACCTACTTTTACTATTGCTAAAGGAAGTGCTATATCTCTGTGTTCCACAAGTATTCCTGTCAGTGTTAAACTTGTTTGATATGGACCTTGAGAACATCTCTCAATCCTCTCCCTCCTTTTTAATGAGGAGGTGTTGATCTCTGTGCTTCTTCATTCTGTAGATTTTTGTTAGCATCCTTGGAAAATGTCTGTTTTTGTCCATTTTTGCACAAACAGGAGAGGCCCTTTCTACACTAGGCCCTGTCTAAGAGGGTGGCTACTTTAAGGAAGCCATCTTCTGGGAGGGGGCCTGGGAAGCAGGAAAGGCTCCCCCTGATTTGACAGGCAGAGAGTTCTAAGGGATGGATGCATGACTCTGAGAGGTACGGCAAGGCTGTACCCTGTAGAGGTGGTATTTGGGTGGTTATGTCCATACAAAACAAGTGCCGTATGGAGCTCCAGCCAAGGTAGGCTTCCCCATGGAAAAGGACTCTAAGCATGCTCAGGAGACACCCAAGATTTTTGTTTCAACCAAACAGACTTCCTTCAGGAACAATGAGAAGGAATTCTCACCAAAATACAAGGATTTCCTGAAGGTCTTTAGCCAGGAGCTTCCTCCCGATTTTGTTGCCCCATAAGCTAGCTACTGGGAACATTCCTTCCATGAAGAAGGGGTTCAGTTGGTTTCCTTAAAGGGCATCAATAAAACATTTTTCAGTTAGGGGTTAAGTTACTGCTATCACTATGGATTCCCAAAGGCCAGAGTACACACCGAGTAAACATGCATAATGTCAGAGGGGTTGGAATAAGATATTCTGGAAGGTAAAAGAGCTTGGATTTCAACCAAGAATCAACTACCCAGTAAAACTGAATATAATCTTTCAGGGGGGCAAATGGGCATTCAATGAAATAGGGGACATTCAAACATTCCTCTTGAAAAGAGCAGAGCTAAAGAGAAAATTCAATTTCCAAATATAAGACACAAGAGAGCCATAAAAAGTTGAAGAGGAAAGCAAGAATGTAAGTCATTCACTCTGTCGTTTACATCCCTACAGGGTAGATGACACTTGTTAACTCTTAATAACTGTATTTCTGTTAGGGCAGTTAGAAGGAGTTTACAATAACAGAGGGTCTGAATATAAATTGACTTCGATGGGATGATACAAAAACATTAAAGGGTGAAAAGGAGAGTTGCACTGGGAGAAGAGGGAAGGGAGAGGAAGAATGGGGTAAATTATATCCCATTTAAAGGTGCAGAAGAGCAATTACAATGGAGGGAAAGAGGGGAGACTGCTGAGCATTGCTTGAACTTTACTCTCAATGGATTTCGCTCCAAGAGGGAATAACACCTATTCAGTTGAGTGTAGCAATCTATCTTACATAGGAGGGATGCATAACCAATGAAGGTGAAATTCAAGCAATGCTTAGGAGTTATTTTGCCCAATCCTATGCCAGCAAAAGTGACAATCTATGTGAGATGGAAGAATACTTACAAAAATATAAACTGCCCACGTTAACAGAAGAGGAAATAGAATTCTTAAATAACCCTCCCTTAAAAGAAGAAATTGAATGAGGTATAATTGAGCTCCCTGGGAAAAAAATCTCCAGGACCAGGTGGATTTGAAAGTAAATTTTACTAAACATTTAAAAACGTTTCATCCCAGTACTCTATAAACTATATGAAACAGCAGGTAAAGAAGGAGTCCTATCCAATTCCTTTTATGGCACAAATATGTTTTTGACACCTAAACAATGCTGTGGGAATATATACACACTAGTACCTTACTAGTGGAGCTGTGAGATGACACATTCTTTTGGAAAGTAATTTGGAATTCTGTAAAGAAAGTAACAAAAATGTCCACAAAATCTATAAAACAATGACTGCATTACACCCCAAGGAAGTCATCAATAAAAAAAAGTCCCCCATATATGCAAAAATTCTCATAACAGCACTCTTTGAGACAGCTATGAATTGGAAACAAAGTAGATGCTCATCAACTGGGCAATGGCTAAACAAGACCTGGAACATGAAAGGCACAGAATACTGCCACCATGCAGTAAGAAATTATGTGTGTGATGAGTACGGAGAAGTAAAGAAAGATCTTTGCGAAGAGATGCAGAGTGAATTAAGCAGAGCCAAGAAAACAGAATATATACACGGTAACTACAACGAAAGAATGAGATACAAAAAATTTAATGTATGTGTAACAAAATGTTAAAGTTCAAGTGGAACTGAAAAGTAGACAGGAGAAGACACCACTAACCTAAACCATCCAGGACATGAGAGGTCCACAGGTGTTACACATTGAGCACCTTTTCCCAAATGCATTGATCCATTGTGTTCACGTTTCCTCCCTGGAACAACAACAACAAAATACTATTTGTCACATGACATAGCTCTTGAGGATGGGGAGAGGGAGGGATACATGGGACACCTTGGTGATGTCAGACACAGTAAATATCAATAAAAAAGTCTAAAAAGAGGTCGAGCACTTCAAGGGTAATAATGGAGGCTGGGAAGGAGGAAAGAAAGAGGTTTGAATTAGTGATTATCACTGCCAATTCCAAGCTATACCACAAATCCATGATTGTGAAAACAATTATTGTTGTTGTTTAGTCCTGTCTGACTTCTCCTGACCCTATTTGGGCTTTTCTTCACAGACATACTGGAGTGGTTTGCCATTTTCTTCTGAGTTCATCTGACAGATGAGGAACTGATGGAAATAGGGTGAAGTGACTTGCCCAGGGTCACACAGCTGGTAAGTGTCTGAGGCCAGGTCTGAACTCAAGGAGATGATTCTTCTTGACTTCAGGCCCAGTGGGACACCTAGCTCCCTGGAAAACAGTTAGAACTTGTTAAAATGTGAGAGGTTGATCAATGGAAAAGATTAGTTATGCAATGCACAGAAGCAAAAAATAAAAGAAAATAAATTCATGTTTAATAAATTCAAAGACAGCAATTGAGTCGGGGGTGCGGGGGAGAGAAGGGAGTACACAGTATCTGATGAAAAAAAAACACATGGGATAAAAGAAAAGCAGTTTGCCAGAAATTCAATAGCACATCAACACCACAACACCTTTTGATGGTTTTTGCTCATCTCTTTTTGATCTTTTCCCTTTCTTTTAAATTTGAGCTCTGTTCCCAGGATGGAAAAGGCACTGTTTCCGGATTCTTGTCCCAGGAGCTGTAGGCCCTCGATGTTTACCTGATGTTGCACTGATGTTGCCCCAATGCGGTCACAAAGAGTCTCACAGGATTGCGAAATAACTGAACAACAAAAGTATACAGAGAGCGATGGCTCTATACAAGAAAAAGAATTTTAAAACATAATTCAG